TATAATAATAATAATAATAATAATAATAATAATAATAATAATAATAATAATAATAATAATAATAATAATAATATCAAACTCTTTCGAACGTTACAAGTTTAAAAAGAAGAAAATTATCTTACGTTCGCAAATTAAAGGAGACGTTTGATGCTAAACGTCAAGATCGAAAATCCTAGCAATTCGTGACGGTAATGAGGGAAAGATCGAAAGGAACGTTCTCGGAGATATAAGCATCATTTCGTTTCGCAAACAAGTCGAGTTCGTTCTTTCCTTCGTTCATTCGTTCGTTGGCTCTGTTAATTCTTCGAGTCGCATTCTAATAAAAGCAATCGAGAAGTTCGAAGAAACGCGAGAAAGATAGTCTCGTAAAATCCCCGACGAAAGGACGACGAGAAATCAAAGAAGAAAGAAGACAACTATCGATAGTCGAACCCAGTTTACCTTCTCGTAGTAGTTTCTTTCAATGTAGAAAAGGAAACTTTAAGTTTTGCAGTTAAAGAGTAAAAGAATCTAACGACTCGATGGAGCTGACTTCTCCTTCGTTTCATGGTAAAAATTAATTCAAAAATTAAACGGTCAAAAATAAATACAAATCTTCTTCGATATAATGTGAAATTATTTTCAAATATTTCTTATCCGCTTGAGATTATATAAAAAAAAAAAAAAAAATCGAAAAGTAAAATCCTTTCTATCCTTTCATTGTCTCATATTTGGATATATTATAGAATTATTTCGACGAGTTATACTCTAATAAATATTTAATATGTTACATAAATGAAAATACAAGTAGATGGGTGCGCTAAAGAATTTTAATCTCGGTAAGAAAAGAAGGAAAAGGCATTCAAAGGATCGCCAATGGGGCCTTCCTTGGTATTTTGAATTTAAAGATAGTTCATCGCGATTACCCTCTTCAATTCTGCGCCAAGGGAAATACCATAAAAAACACTATCAAATCTCTAATCAAGAAGTTTCGAGGAGCACGAAGTTCCTAGAGGAAAAGATGGTAAAGATCAAGAGGAGGAGGAGGAGGAGGAGGAGGATGGTAAGAACGAGAGACGGCGAGTTTTAGCTTCGACGAAGAAGAGAAGCAAATCGAGAGGCAAACAAAAGAAAAAGAAAAAGAGAAAGAAGAGAATATTACAGAGAAAAGCACCTGAGTGGTCTGCGAGCCCGATTTACCACGAAAACATGTTATTCCTTTTGTTGCACATACACACACACGTATACACGCGCGAGCGTAATATCCGTACCCCACACTTTTCTTAATGAAATATTTAAACTTCCAAATATATATAAGAAATATTTTTCCCTCGCGTGTCAGAATAAAATAATATAATTAATTTAAATAAACAATATTAAATATATATATATTGCAATTTTGCCCGTAATTATTTAAAAAAAAAAAATAAAAGAAAAATTGTCGAAGAATTCGTAGATAAGCCGATCGTTATTAACACGAAAAATGGACATCATTCGACCGATCGAACGTTTTCAACGATAAATTATTTTTCTTGAGGGTCTCTTCGCCGTTAGGTAATTAGATTTATTAAGTCGGTCCTGTTTACACGAAGCCTCGGGCGCGTGATTTATTGAAGAGGACCCTTCACCGAGAGGGAACGTCGTTGGAAGAGGACGGTGAAGGTTGCTTGTTACGAAGATTATGAGGTGAATTCTGTCTCTCCCTCTATTTCATTTCCCACCACTACTACTACTACTACTGCCACTACTACTACTACTGCCACCACCCCCGTTCCATCGGCTACCCTTCCTTCTCCTCCACTAACTTTTCTCGTCCTTCCTCCCTCGTCACTTCGTTTAATCAACTTCAATAAGCCTACTCCTATAAGTAGACTAATCTCACTTTGAAGGGAAACTAACGTTCATTCTCTCATATTCTCTCTTACTCTCTCTCTCTCTCTCTCTCTTGGTATTTCATTGGCCAAATTTCTATAAAGAAATTGTAGAATAAGAAAACGATCAAACGTGTATGCCGACCCCCCCTCCCTTTTCTAAACACGTATTGTCTATGTACTTTACAAAACAAACTTTAATAAGTCTCGAAATATTATTAATCGTGCTTCTCTCCTAATTTCATAACTTTGAACTTTCAACGTCAAAACTAGTTAATGCTCGTTTGTCAAACTAAGCTCGGGCACTATTCAAATTATTTCTAGATTTCTAGACAGATATTCTAATCCAAAGATATTCCAATTTAGATGAAAAAGGGTTTAGACAACGGGGCTGGGGCGGGGAAGAAAAATAATAATAAATAATACGGGTTTTTCGGAGTTATAGAAAAATTGCATTCTCCTTTGTACGAAGTTAAAATCGCTTGATTCAAATAGCGTGTGGCAAGTGAATAAGGGTTAATAGTGTGGGAAACACGGTAGGAAATGGAAGGCGAGTCAGTTTAAGCGACGAGCGCACCAAAGTTATCTGCCGAGCTAAACCCAAAATCTCCCTCATAAAAGTGGTAAGGAACCCCTGTTTGGGGAAACAATGGTGCTGCTACTGGAATCTCCGGTTGGTTCGTAAAAGTTCGGTCGAACCGAATAAAATAAGAGAGAGAAGGAGAGAGAGACAGAGAGAGAGACAGAGAGAGAGACAGAGACAGAGAAAGAGAGATAGTAACAGAAAATAGAAAAGAAAAGAAAAAAAAAGAGAGCAGGGAGATAGAAAGAAAGAAAGAGAGAGAGAGAGAGAAATAAAAGAAAAGATGAAACGAACGAGATTGGACAGAGGAAAAAAAAACCAGAGGATTCGTTTTTAACCTCTGTGAAAGCCGTCCAATAAATATCGCCGCTCGTTATTAGCGTTTTAATTCAGTCCAGTGACGGTAACTTAATCCGCGTGGCTGCCGAATAATCGAGAAAACGTTGTGAAGGGAATAGTAGACGATGAGGGGGGCGGTGGGGCTGATGGGGGGCCAGTTTTTACGAACGATTGTGGGAAGAAAAGTCTAACATTAAGCTGGAGCAGCCCCATCGAGAGACCAGCCGGTTAGAGCAGAGAGCACAAATTAAAAACTTCAGGAACGATGGTGTTCTATTCACGTTAGTATGCGCGTTAGTATGTGCTTTAGTATTCGCGTACCAAAGTCCAACCAACCAACTCTTTTTTCGTATGCATAAATGCTTCAAATAAATCATGCAAAGAGCTACGAAATTATTTGACAAGTTAGGAGAAATCCTCCTCTACCCCCCCCACCCCCTCCCACCCCAATACATACAAGTAGCTCGACTAATTTTTAATATGCACAGATGCGACGATGTTTCTTTTAATAACGCTCGGGAATATTATACTATGATTATAGTTTTTTCATGTGATGACGACTCTCTTTAAAAGGGTAAAAATTATAATATTTCTCTTCTTCTATTTCATTTTCGTTTTATAAATGTATATATATATATATCGTTTCAATGATGGAATAACAAAACAAACTTACCACTTTGTCAGCCAATTTTCTAACTCGGCATGGCAGATAAACCGTTTGTCCAACGAAGGCCGTAACATTAGGAGCAGTCGGCTCGAAAATAGGCAAATCCGTGTCGACGTAATCGTTAGTGGCGACGGGATCGTTGACATTCCTACGGGAATTTCCTTTGGACATTTCGCGTACATGAGCAGGCTCTGAAACAAAATGATTTTGGTTCCACAATACTAATCATCATCTTAATATCGTAGAAACTATGTTTAGGTAAAAGGTGTCGTCGTCCCTTCCCCTCTCCCTCTCACCGATCGTTAGTTCGAAACGGAAACGTAAAGAGAATTTCCGGTGAACTCGAAAGCTTCCTCGACCATCCCCCAATCCCCCCTCTGCCCCTCTGACCCCCTGCCCCTATCGTACACGCGTTATATTATCTCTAAGAGTTTCTGGAACGCAGTCATCGAACTCCGGTCTCATTCAAATGGCTGTCGGGGTCTATTCGAATCGCTTTCTCTCTCTCTCTCGTTAGTATACCTTCGAGCGATTCTCCATCATCATCGATCATCATCAGCGTGAGCGACGATACCATTGGTGTTTGACAGGGATTGATTTGAAAGGAAAGTTGCTAATAAAACCTGAGAGACTGTGACTTCGACTAATATACTTGAGAAAGTGATAGGTTCCAGCCTATAACCATCGTCTATTTCTTTTTTTTTCCTTACTTCTTCTTTTTGTTTTCTATTTATATTTTCAGAGGATAGAAAATCTATAGAAAACGAGTTTTGCATCGATGAACCGTAAAATCGAAAACGAAAAGGGAAAAGAGAATGAGGATTTTTTTCTTTTTTTTTATGGACCGAACGATACTTTTTCCACGCATATTAACACTTTCCACGATGCGATCGATTAATTACTAAAATTAACTAGGAGAAAATAGATATAGAAAAAAGAGAAAGTAAAAGAGAGAGAGAGAGAGAGAGAGAAAGGGAGAGAGAGAGAGAGATAGATAGTGAAAGCCCGGGAATCTCGCGAACGCGTGTAACATTTGGTAATATCCGACAAATACAAGCAGGTAAATCCTCATACGTCAAGTGAGAATGCACGTTCGCTGAATTGTCAAACGAACCTGCGCAGAACGATATACTGACATCGTAATTTACTGGATCGACCATTTCGCATAAACAACATCCTTCATCCAACGCGTAGTCGCACGCCCATCCGACTATTCCTCTTCCCCCACGACGTGAATTTCGCGCGAGCGTTCTCGCAAACACGCATACGAAGAGAAACGAGGAGAGACAGAGACACAAAGAGAGAAATAGAGACAGAGTGTGAGAGTGAGAGAGAGAGAGAGACAGAGAGAAATCCTGCCGACTCTTCGCAGAGTCTCCTGGCGCACAGATAACGCCCGTATACGCAGCATCCACTAATCGCGTTATACAAATGACTAAAATTCAGCCTTGAGCCTGGCGTTACCACGAACCTGAATTTCATGAAAGTTCTTGCAACGCTCCCGATAACGTTAAATTAATCGACAGAAAGCCAACGCTATCGTGAATAGAAATGAAATATATTTCGAGCGCGTATGTAATATAATTCATCTAACAAATCGCCTTTCTCCTTTACGTACAAACATGTACCTACCCCTATACAGCGAGGGGGGGAGGGCATAGTATACACGCGTTTGTATATACGTTTCACAAGGTTTTACATACTTTAAATCTTAACTTTATTACGATATATATGTCTTGCCGACATACATACATATATATATATATATACAGTTTGTTAAAAAAAATGTCTTCTTATTCCAAGTGTGTAAAAAAAAAATACCAAAAGCAAACGAAATATCTCGAATTCCAGGATATTCTTTTGAAAGGAAGTGTAAAGAAAGGAAGATGTAAAAAAAAAAAGGATGAAGAAAATGGATAATGCGCGTATAGTTTTTATCTTCCGTTACGAAAAAATAATAATAATAAAAAAAAAGGAGAGAAAAAAAGGATAAAGTATTATCTTTACATTTCTCTTTCCGCCGACATATTTCTCTGGGCGCCTTCTCATCCTCTATCTCTCTCTCTCTCTCTCTCTCTCTCTCTCTCTCTCTCTCTCTTTCTTGCTATCTCTTTCCGTGGCGCCCTTTTAGAGCACGCGCCACGCGAGAAAGTGCCGTCCATGGTGGTGCTGGATGACGAATGGCATCTAAATCCACGGTTCCAACGTATGAAACGAGAGAAGAGCAAGAATAAATTTCGGTTCGGGTAACAAGTAACGACGCGTGTCCGAGTTTCGTTTTCCCTTTGTAAATGTGTGTATGTATGCGCGCACACACACACACACACACACACACACACACAAATATCCAACACTCGACACGTTCGAAGAAAATGAAAGAAGAATGTATTAGGTGAGTTTCGAGTAGGTGTGTTGTATCTTGTTCGAAAGTTAAAATCAAATAAAAAAAAAAAATAAAACATCTTTTATGAATTATTCATAATGAACGCGCATTCGTGAAAACCACGAAACCGCCCTTTCGAAGTGGCACCATCACCATCATGGCACGCACGCACGTACGTACGTACATGTCCCCAATATTTTGCCATGGAGTCCCGCCGAGATTCGACAGCCTTAAACCACCGCCGCGTAATTTCTCCCCATTTCCTGACGCACGAAACAATACGAACGAAAGTTTACGGCTCCGCTGGACCACCGAGAGTATCATACATTTTCAACGTACCGCTCGTAAACTGTGGTCAAACGTTACCTAACAGTCGCCAAGCCGCTACAACGCTATACGACTAGCTTATTCGATCTTTATTATATTTATTTAATGCCTATTTTATTTTTTATTTAACATTAAACGGTACCATTACATTATCGTTCGAATCGACCGATTGTCAATTTTTCGATCAGTCGATAAATTTTCATTACATAAATTTTTTGCTATACATGTGTCATTTGATTTCGTTATATAATAATTATACGCGAAACTCGATACGTTTAGTATTAAATACTATCAACATTTACTAACAATATTTTTGTTCGTTCCAACGATATAATAATAATATTACGATTATACTTTCTCCCTCTCGTTAACTACGAATATCTATGAATTCAAAACGCATATAAATTATTGTTATTAAATATTTGCATTTATATGTATAAGCAAATAATAATCGTCGAGTTGACGTATAATACGAAACATTCGCAAAAATTGAATGGCATACTCGGGTACACGATTAACTACTACCGGAAACTCTCATGCGACCTTCTTAGAATTTCAGAGGACGAAGGAAGCCAGATGGAATTTCCGAGAAGAAGACGAAATGATCTTCACGCCCTGCAAATGGGAACATACCTCGACTCGTAGTGGTGCGTGTGTTAGACACGTGCACGATTTTCTTGTCTACAAGTATGTGCATTCTCTCTCTCTCTCTCTCTCTCTCTCTCTCTCTCTCTCTCTCTCTTTCTCTTTATTTTTTATATTTATTGAATTTTATGAATTTCTATAACGAGCACTCGATAAACAGATATTTCATTCAATTTTAACAACAATTATTTGATAAGAAACCACCTCTCTCTCTATCTCGTAGATAAACAATCTTCCTATAAAAACAATCCAACTTTGTAGAAATATATTTTCAATCCACCTTAAAGGTACACCTTATATTTTCTAACAAATAAAGGAGGAGAGATAAACAAATGAAAAGAGAACGAAAAATAGTACAATAAAACGAAGAGCAGAAGAAAGAAAAAAAAAAAAAGAAATAAAGACGAAAAAGAAAGTATATTTCCTCCATGAATCTGCCGCAAAAAGCAGGTGTCTCGCTTAGAGTGTTTGTTGGTATGAAGGAAAAGAAGAAAAAAGAAAAAAAGAAAAAAAGGAAAAGGGACGAGGGAGAGACTATGTGCTAGGTTAAAAGGCGACACGGAACGCTCTTAAAGGCTCGATCGTGTTTAAAAAAAGGATAGAAAAAGAGAGAGAGAAAAAAAGAGAAAGAAAGGAAGAGAGAGAGAGAGAGAGAGGTAGGGCAAAATAGGGGACCGGCGCTAATAAAACTGGACTAAAGCCGGTCTCTCCAACTTTTGAGAAATGGCGAATAAAGGAAGAAACGCGAGAAACAAAAGCGGAAACGGGAGTTGCAAAACGGAAACGGAGAAGAGAAAGATGAGATGTAGAGGGAAGAAGTTTCTCTTCTCGACCCGAAGGAATTCCTTCTCCTTTTTCTTTTTCTTTTTCTTCTACCATCTCTCTCTCTCTCTCTCTCTCTCTCTCTCTCTCTCTCTCTTTCTCTCTCTTTCTCTCTCTCTCTCTCTCTCTCTTTCTATTTTTCTCTCTCCCCCTCGGTTCTTACGGTCCCGTAAAAATCTACGGTGCAGCATTGACTCCCCCGTATGTGCATACACTCTCCTTATCGTATAGGTACGTGTGTTTGTATACGAACGAACCGCTATCTCAGACTACGTATTCGTATATACGTGTAAAAGGAGTAGTCCACGACTACCAACAAAGAATAAGAGAAGAACGATCCACACATGGTTACCGAGAAGTTATGAGAGCGTTTGTTCCACCCTTGGAAAAAAGGAAAAAGGAATAAGAAAGGAAAAGAAGTGCTATAAAGAGAGGAAACTAAATGCGAAAATGGTGCAAGAAAAAGGAACCGACAAAAAAAAAATTGAAATATCGTTCCTCCTTGATACGCTCTAAGAATTCGACTCAATATCAGCTATTTCCCCCATTTTATAAGGTTCACTGCGACAAGATGTAAAGTATATATCTATATGTATATGTATATACTCCTTTCGATGTTGCATGACTGGCAAACAAGTAGCAAAGATCAAACGTTTATAGATGGAATCTGACAGAGTAAACTTTATTCACACTTATATGGACAAGATTTGCTGAAATTGAGTACTCTTTTATGTATATTATACTTGCATAAAAATATCCAATGAACGCGGAGAAAAATGGAAGAAAAAGAATAAGGGAAAAAAAATGGAAAAAAAACAATGAAGAAAGAAAGAAGGTATCCCAACCATGAACCAGACGGAATCATTCTTCTCCACTAGACCGAGCAATTTTCTCTTTAACGTTCCCACGCTTTATTGAAAACGCCGAGAGTATAGGAACATCCAAGTTCGTAATTTGCACTGAGAAAGAGAGAGAAAGAGTAGTAGAACGATTCTAGCAGGAAACGCATTGGGGATCCAGTCGAAAGTTCAATCTCATCTATGTCCGCGTTTCGACCGATATTTTGTTCTGATGCACTTATACCTTGCCACGAGTGAGATTGATTTTTCCGATTCTGAACTTTTTATATTGAGCAGAAAAATAGCTCGGACTCTTACTGGTAGAATTCGTATTAACAATTATACCGGACTACTATAAATTTAATTATTACGCGATCGAATGCTACCAATGCCTACCATTTCATCGTAGATGAACGAATCTGAAAATGACAAATAAATGAGAAATCCCAACATTGGTTTCTCAATTACGCTTTTCAAAACTTAAACTACGTCGTTTTTCACAATCGTGGGGAGGAAAAAAAAGAATAAAAAAATACAAAAATATAAGTTCAGTAAGGTTGTTCGTACTAGGCATGATGCAGTTTGTCGAAATAAAAAGTCAAAATGATTTTGAACATAGCTAGGAACACACATGGGCCATTGTTAAAACTTCAATAGGAATTCGTTTAACAAAAATCGAAAAGTTGACCGATCGTAAAGCGTCACTACTTTTTAAAAACAGTATCAAAGCTTTCAATCTCCAAAATGCAGCGTGAAAATTCCCGTTGAATTTTGAATATCCATTGTGACGTCACTTGAGCTGAACGTTTCCTTCCCCTCCTCCTCCTCCTCCTCCTCCCCAAACTACTCTCCATCTAACACCGTTTTACCATTGACGAAAAATATGTTACAACGTACGTTTGCGAATACAAACACAAGGGGAGTGCAATAAACGAACACACGTTGGGGAATATTTTTTTTGTTTTCTCCTCTTTCGTCGAACTTTACTAAATCCGAAGTAACGTTAATTCAAGCAAAACTTTGATATTACTTCTCAGAAATGGGGGAACGATTATCATTAATAAAATTTACTACTTCTAACTCGTCGTAAGTAAATCGATTGACTCAATGAATCTACCCCTAAACTTATTTAATTAATATTAAATGTAAAGTAACGATAGAAATTGTCAAATATCTTATAAAATATTAACATCATTTCTATATGACATTGGGTTAATATTTTTATACGCAGAGATACCAAAAAAATCGATTGATTTAAATAAAACAAATAAATGAGATCGCATTAGAAAACAAAGTGCAATTTCTTTCAAAATCTCCTCTATCATTTTTATCTATTTTTACTTGAAAAAAAACAGTAACCCATTCTAGTTGTCAAAATCATCTTTTTTATATAATAATAATTGATTAAAAACGATTTTTAATATAATATTAGATCTATGGATAGTAAGAGAAAAAATTCGTAGAATTTATTATTGAACGTGTAGACGTGGAAAAAACGTATACTATCTCTCACGTCGTTTAAAGTGTCTTATTAAAAAGAAAAAAAAGGAAAAATAAGCACCGTTTTATTGCATCGAGAGAGAGAGAGAGAAAAAGAGAGAAAGAGAGAGAGAGAGAGAGATACATATCTGGAAAAACAAATACACGAGGGCAGTGTCATCGCGTGTCGAGAATAAAAAAAAGTAACCATTTATCAAGGGAGCTCTTAACGTGAGAAAATGTTCCTAGATGTTCTCGACGAAACGTTCGAAACACGTACGTGTTTGTCACCAAATATTATAAGAACATGAAATAAATTCACCAGAACGAAACATTTGAAATTTCGATAATTACTTTCAAATTAACGAAGGAACGGGGAGAAGGTATGGGGGTGGGTTAATGTATCCAATGGTTTAAATGTCAACACAAAATTCGCATAATCAAAATCGTCTTAGAGGTAAGAGAATACGTGAAATACTATCGAATCGTCGACAAAGTTGAAAGTTCAGTGAATGCATTGTAACTATCCCGTTTACTTCGTCCGAACTATGTACACAAGCATTAGATATCCAATATGTATGTGTGTGTGTGTGCGTGCGTGCATACGCGTAAGTAAATTTGTACACGCGACGAAGTTCTGATTCACCGTGAAACGTTTCTTGCCGAGTAAGTAGGAAAGCAAGCAAGCAAGCAACATCTAGATAAGCGTTCATGGAATTTACCATTAGTTAATAGTTCGAAAATTGCTAGAGACCAGATTTCAAAGCAAAAAGTAACATCTGCTTCGAGTTAACGCAACGTTGAAAATGATCGCTAAAACGGTATTCCAACGAACAGTATTCCTCGCCGTTCGGAATGAATTCTCCTTTTCTTTTTTTCTTTTTTTTTCAATATCGCGTTTAAATAGAAAATCAAGATCTCTATTATCAATTCAAATCCAATAGGATCCAATTTATCAAAGGTAACGTAAAGCAAGACAGAAGAGGAAGGGCTGGTTCGCGAACACTCGAGAGAAAGGTAGTGAATCATTCTATGAGTATAAATTAGTTTACCCTAGCAACTCCGGTTAATTAATTACGCTAAATTGTCCTAAGAGTAAATAACTGCCGGCACCTAGGGCAGTCTTCCTTTCCCTCCCCGTCCCTCCTCTTCTTGCCAGGGACCGCGTGATGCGTTTCCGGAAGACGAGCTACGTTCCCGTTTTGTTTTCGGTCGGACCGTTTACGATTCGAGCATTGTCTCTTGGCAAGGAATTACGACAACGACGACGACAACGACGATGTTACCGTATCCTAAAATGGCTTTGATGATTATTTTTACATCTAATTCACACATTTATACCGTTTAAGAAAAACGTTTAAAGAAACTTTTGCGTTTACGATGGTATATAATCGATTAAAAATAAATAAACACTTTATCCTTTTTTCGAAAAACATAATTGATCGTAATATAATAGAAGTTAGACATAAGAGAATATAAAATAAAATGGAACCGGAAGAAATTAGGTTTAGAACGCATACATTCTCGTTCGATGTGCGCACGCTAATATATCTTAAGACTTGGTCCAAACACGCTCCGTTTAGCAGGGTGCTTTTGTCCGGGCGAATAAGTCTACTACAAGCAGGTTCCGAAGTTTCAAATACACCACCATATACACAGCACGTCTGTTCTTCGTACTTTATCTCCTGAGCCGGCTCTGAATGCAGAACGTGCTTTGCATCGGGGGGTCTCCTTCAAGCACTTAGATACGATTATTCGTTTGAAAGGAATGCCCGCCCGCGAGTTCGTGCCAAGTAGAATTATAGTCGTTTACGTTTCCCACTTAATCCGCGAATCGCGATCATTCTGATAACTAGTCTGCCCTGTCCTTATTGTTTAATGAATTCCGATGATAATGTACCCGACGAAGATACGAAGAAAAAAAAAAAAAGGACAAAATATTTCAAACGTTACCCTCAGCATTGTATTACCCTAATCTTTAACAAACGCTGACCTCATACAACAACACGTTGGCCACGCGCAAATGCAACCGAATGGTAAACATTTACACCGCTAAAACCAGATGTTTAGTTCGCAGACCGGTGGTGGTACAACTGCTGCTTTCGGTTCAAGAAACCAATTAAAACACAATCGTATATTTTCGAAAGTACGTAAAATGGTATTTAATTGGAAATAATAATCGAATGATATTCCAGTCCCATATTGTTCTTATTATTAAAACGTTTATTAAAATAAACACAAGTGATCAAATATCATTTTTTAAATCATTATTCTATATTCGTAACTAAATAAATCGGCCCCATCGTAGAAAGTAAGAAGAAGAAGAAGAGAGGCGAAATAAAAAGTAAGCATATTGCGACGTCAGAGAATTTTTTTTCCCGGTCTACACAGATTTAGCTGGAACTTTTCGTACATTCTCTAATACGTTGGAGAATACCGAAACTACACCGGAATATTTAAGAACGCATATGTGAATTTTACGGCACCACGTGCGTACCATAAAGAGCGAACGTTCCTCGAAAAAATACAGGGCAACAAAGAAAGTCGGTGTAGGTGTCGTGGTCACTAGATATTTAGCTTTATATACACACACACACGTGGTTCGTATTAAAAATAAATATCATTCAGAAATAAAACGTTATATCGCGATATCGGTTCCAATTCTTCAACAAAGATACTTTTTCAAGGTTTCACATGCTCTCATCGGTATATTCGTTTTTTCCTTGACATTTTGACGTTGTTAGCGGAAGGAAAAAAGACGCGCGCGCGCGTGTGTGTGTGTGTGTGTGTATGCGTAAGCAAATATATCGGTTACATGTTAATACCTTAAAAATAGAAAAAAAGTAAATAACATAGATTTTGTAGCTTTTGATGTAGCAGCCTGTACAAGGAGAAAGACATGACACAGCACATAGCACGATGATTCGTAAGAGAAAAAATGGCTTGTACACGCGACTTGTGGCTCATAATGTAATATAAAAGTTCCAACGACGAAAGATAAAAGTCCAAGCGAGTTCTACGAACGTACATTTAATTTATCTTTACAAATCTTGACAATTACACGGTAATTGTTAATAACACTCGCAATTTGCGCTTACTACGTTGCCCGGTAGTACATGTTGCATTTAAAGCTCTCGTTCATACGTTTAATTTGTCTCTATTTTGTGTGTATCCTGAAACGGGAGGGGTGGAGGGTAGGGGTGGGGGATTACACGTATTCCTACAATCCTACGAATAAAACTCGAGAGTATAAATGCGTGCACAAGGTGACAGGAATACCTTCGACAATTATTCGTAGATGTTTTTGTTTAGGTAATTCTGAGCCTGTATCCTACGTTTATTAAACAGCAAAAACAAAAATATTCGAAAAAAAGAAAAAAAAGTGAGAGAGAAAGGAAAATTGGCTTACCAACCTGAAAGAATGGTTCCGGGCAGCAACGCACAGAAGCTCAAGTACGTAAGCAACACTCGCCAACACTCATGACGTGCCTTTTGGCAGTAGTCCAGTTTTTTCTCGTTCGGTAGGCCACTGATTCTTGGCCCCTTCATCTTGCACGGTGCCGCATACTTTTCGTTCCAGCCACGTAGACACGCGCGTACACACGTTTACGCACACGACCCGTTTAAAAGGAACTTCGATAATGTACCCACAAGGTAATACCTTCAACTACCTCTTCTTCTTCTTCTTCTTCTTCTTCTTCTTCTTCTTCTTCTTCTTCTTCTTCTTCTTCTTCTTCTTCTTCTTCTTCTTCTTCTTCTTCTTCCTCTTTTTAAGCCCGCATGAGAAACGTGAAATTGTGTAACGACCTCGAAACACGTGCTTCAAAAACGTTGCACTCGCGTACGTAGCAGTTACGCCTTTTTTCCTTTCCCTCGTTTCTTCGATTCATCGTTAAACTTGTTAACATTTTCAACTTTTCGCCTATCTCAAAAAAGCTTCGCGACGTTGTTTAACTTCACGTTTTATACGAAACGACGACGAGGATCACCGTGCTCGTTTCGTCGAGCATTCGAACGAAACTGCTGTCCTTCTAATCCAATAGGAATGCTACGTTTCTCTCTCTTTCTCTCTCTTCTCTCCCTTAGAATTCTTTCGGTTTCCTCCACACAGAAAAACACATTACAGTACACGAATTAAATAACGTAACAATAATATCGTCGTCATCGTAAATATCCCCATTGTTTTTATCTCGACGATTATACTCCAATCTATTTTAGATTCTCTTTCCATTCTAACAAATGATATCCCATCGATTATCTTTTTACAACACCGTAAATGCGTTATTTCGTAATATTACTCCTGTTAATTGTTAAATCTGTAAAATCTTATTTAGATATTTGTTAATTATCAGATTATTTTCTCACAACGTTCGAAGAAATTTCGAAAAATTATGGGATCCTTCTCCCATTCGCGTACGTCGATAGAACGATGGTGTCGAGTGAACAGCCACGGAAAATTATTATTTTCTCTCTCTCTCTCGCTCTCTTGGTATATATATATTTCTTCGAGGGTACAACGTTAAATTGAACGTGTAGAATGTTCGTCCGGATACGATAGAATCCATTTCGCGCGCGATTGCCGATGTAAAGGATGGTCTTTTCACTGACACCGCCGCGCCTTCTCTTCGCTTACCTACATTTAGCGGATAAAAGAAATACCTGACACACTCCCGTAAAGGGTAACGCGTTGAATTATCGATCGCGTGAAGAAGATCGAATTGAAAGTTGTTTTTATTCCTTCTTCTTCTTTTTTTTGGAAAGAAAAACGCGAACACGATATAAAATCTCGAAATATCGATCTTCGAAAATAGTTTTACGAATTTTCTTTACCCGCCCCTCCCTCCCCCAACCCTCCCCACACCGCCACAGGTCTTTTCAACCGAGGAAAAAAAAGTTCGTCGAAGTATCGCGTTCGAGTAAAAAAAAAAAACTCCAAGATTAGCTCCAATTAGCAAGGTTCGAAAAAAAACTTAACGAAAAAGGCTCTCTCTCTCTCTTTTTCTTTTTCTTTTTCTCTTTCTCGTTTTCTTTTTCGAAGATCTCGAGTTGGATGTCTAATAAAAGTCTCGAGCCACAAATTAAAGCCCTTAAAAGGGTAACTCTCCGTTGTAAAGTGGTTCCGTTTAACGATGCTTCCCTTTCGTTTTCGTTCTCGGGGCCCACCCCTTCCCCCGGCCCCGCCCCAAGTGAGTTTTACAAATTTGTATTCATAAAAAGCAACGTTTGCTTGATTTTTTGACGCGTCGCGTAAAGGGTCGGGTCGGGTCGTGTCGGGTCGAGTCGAGTCGATGGAAAGGAAAAAAAAAAAAAGGAAAAGAAAGAAAAAATAAAGACAAAGAAACGTCAACCGGATAACAATGACAATGCTGATGCAAGACGAGACTCGCAAATTATCCCCGAAAGGTATTATTAATTAATCCCCTTGTTAAGCCGCGACGCGAGAGAAACACGGGGAGTTGCAAAAGGGGGAGAAGAGATGATGCTGCCTCGTGTGCTACTGGAGTATGCCATTTTCAAGGGTTCCGTTAAGGGTAGAAAAGCCGAGAGTGGAAACACGCGTGCCTACCATCGTACTCTCTCTTTCTCTCTCTCTTTCTCTCTAACAGCGTGAAAGTCGTTTCAAAGTAGTAGATATAGAAATTTGTAAGAGAATTTGTTGGTATTCGTGAACGTCGGTGGTTTACCTTGTCACGTAACGGGGAAATGTTTCTCGAAAAAGCAAATTAAAATTTAAACACACAGGTGTGTGTGTGTGTGTGCGTGTGTGCGTGCGTGCGAACGCGTCTTAAACTGCGTTCACTGCGCCAAGTTATTTCCTATCGAATGAGAGAAAATACAAATCGTATAATAATTTGGAATATGAATCTATTAGAACACACACACACACACACACATATTCTTTACTAATGTAAACCCACTTGATTCATGATAATATTTTGATTTGAACGTTGTTCCAACGATAACGTTGTTATACGAGCATCTTTGGACAAACATAGTATCGCATTTCTGTGCCAGGGACCGTCACGAACTGTCAAATTTCTTGTAGTTACTCGCTCGTATGCTATTTATAACGAAAGTGTAAGAACGGAGCCGCGACGAGTGCACACGATGCAAGTCTTAACTATGTCTTTCTCTTTCTCTTTCTCTTTCTTTTTCTCTACCTCTCGCTCTTTCTAGTCACATCCCACACTTTCTGGAATATTTTTTTTTTACTCAACGCGGTAAAACCGGTACTGGCAAAAACAGAAGCATCCGCAACGAGACCAGCAAAGGCCTTTCTGTCCTAGAATATACATAATCACCAAAGTTAATTAAGGTTTTGGAGATGAAAGAGGGCTGAAGAATAGAAATGAAAATGGTGCGACGAAAAACTTAAGGATGTACCGGTACGAGAACGAGAAAATCGACTAGTCCTGAAACGACGGATGTTAAAAACACTCATGAAAATATCTATATCCAAGATATCTTTGAGATCTCAAGAAATGTGTCGTCAGTCTGTTCTACAAATTTTCTCGGACATTTTAACCGATAAAGCAATTATTTTTCAGGAGAAATCTCTTTGTCTTTTATTATATTTCTCGATACTAATTCATTTCACGAGTATACGAGGTTGCTGTATTATCCTCGGGTTCTTTTACCTTCGCGAAATACACCTGGTATCGTACAAAAAGAAATTAATCGAGTATTATTATTCCTCGTCGATTTAAATATTGTTTCAATGAAATTCCATTAGCTCGACAAAAATTCCTTAAATATGCACAGCTTACCCCGACTAACGAAACAAAAATGAAAAAGAAAATAAAAGAAAAAAGAATTACAGTGGTTCTTTTTTTTTTTTTTAAAGTCGATACCAAACACAAAGTGCAAAATGGATGAACAAGGGTTGGGAAATTAAATCAAATTTTGTGAACGTGACATCGTTGAGCGAAAGGGAAAAGTTTCACGATGACCGTTCGCAATTTCAAAAACAGCACAAAGCCATAAAGCTTGCCGTGTCGTTTATGCAATTTATTGTTCCTCCTTTTTACTTCAAAAATGCGAAAGTGCTCGCCCGATGGACTACGGCTCGCGTTCCTTCTCTCCATTTCTCTTTCTTTCTCTTTGTCGGTATGTACCTTGCTACTTATTACGTCATAACTTACACAGTCTCGACGTGAAATTGATTTATTATTATAGTAGATTTTCTTTAGGTGTGCGCACAATATTCAACGATATAGAAAAAAACGGTAATAGAAAAAAAAAAAAAAAAAACCGTAAAAGACGATAGGCGACATAGCATCATAATGCAACCTCAACCATCTTCATTCCTCGCTGTTACGATAACATGATGTATATATTACGTTCCTTTTCGTACTTATTACCATTTTTTCATGGTATTTAGTAAAACACAAAGTATCTCTGAACAAATACCAGAGGAGAGTATTTGAGGAGTAAATGTAATCTACCGAAAGTATTCTGAGTAAATATTTATAGAAAAAGAAATTGGTAATGTACGAGAGAAAATGAGAGCAAAAACGTTTTATTCTACAATCCTTAATTTCGCATATAATTTTCATAAGATAATAAATTAACTCTCGTTTAAAGATAACCAAATTTTAATCGAATAAAACAAATTACTTTTTTCGCGAATTCGAAATATAGAGGAGGGGAAAAATATATTATTATTATTATTATATACGAGAAATGAAAAAAGAAACTAGGTGTAAAAATTAAACTAAAAGGAAGAACAAAAAATGACTTGGTGGATATCGATGGAATACCATTTACACATTGGGCAGACGTAATTCGAGCGTAGGAATTTCGTTGTTCTCTTTTCCAACAGCAAACCATGCTACTCGGCCTGGTCTGATCTTTTGCATAACCGTTTCCCAACGAATGCACTTCGACACAAACGTATTTGTTCAAAGAACGACTGTTGCATCGTGCCACCTATTTTCCACCTCGTTGCCACTCTCCCTTCCAGCCATTCTCTTTCTCTCTCTCTCTCTTTCTCCTCTACCCCCATCGTTCTGCTGTTCGTTCTTCCGGTTTCCACTCTCTTTCTCTTTCTCTTTCCATCCTTCTCTGTTTCTCTCTACTATTCCCTGAGAGCCTTTCTAGAGTAACCCTGCGATTGGTTTTTCGTGTTTCCCAATTCCTCCCCCATCCTCGAAATCCTAATTTCTCGTTTTTTATTCTCCGACTCTGCTTCTCTTTCTACCCTTTTCCTCTCCCACCCTTCCTCCCTTCTTCTCTCTCTTTCTCTCTCTCTCTCTTGAACATTCGATACAACTGGCCTATATCGGTCGACACTAGGTCACTCTCTCTCTTTCTCTTTCTCTCTCTCTCTGTCTCTCTCTCTGCTACCCTCTTTCTCGTCATCCGACGAGAAACGAAATGGCCCTTTCGGGCGATAACAGAGAAAATCCCAACGTCGCTCTTACCCTCGGCCAAGCCCTGATTTTCAATTTCGCTCGTGTGGGACATAGAAATTCGGCAGGTTTTCTTTTTTGGGCCACATTTCCCCCATAGCATACGAGCAAAATTTCGATTTTATTTCAATAGTGTTTTATGTGTTACGCCATTTATTATATATATACAAATTTAAATTTGATTTAACGAAACTTCGATTGTTTGATTATTCTTTTAAATCGATGCGCAAAGTATTCCACCCCTTTTTAAAAAAGTTCTTCAAAGTGTTGAAAGATAATTATACGCTCGATAAAAACGTCAAAAGAATCTATTTAAACGTTTCTAACAAGAGAGAGAATGAATAAATAAACGATCGAAGAGAGAGAGAGAGAGAGAGAGAGAGAGAGAGAGAGAAAACACCTGAATAAAAAAAACACGCGCTGGGTAGATTGCCCGGAGCAACGCAACGTGAGCTAAGCTAATAAATTCGCAAAGCTACGTCTCGCCTCTACGAATTCTCTCTAACTCTAACAATAACCCTCGGCAAAACGAGAATGTTGTCGACTATGACACTTTTCGTGGAAACTCCTTGTCCAACATGCAAATGTGTAACAATTTAATCGTCACACGTAAACGAATTTCATATTAGATCGATTGATCCATCTCTCTAGGTTCATCGTTCCGAATTTTCTTACAGTCCAATTTTACGAAGTTAAATTTGTCAAAGAAATACGCTGATTAAAAGGAAGCCGAAACGAAATAGAAACCAATAATCCATCGCACACGTACCGGTAAAACCGTTTGGAAAAGTCGATAAGATTGTCTATCTCTTTTCTTTTCTTTCCTTTTCTTTTTCTTTTTCTTTCTATTCTTAGACACGACACGCGCGAATATCTTACGAGAAGTTCGAAATTCCTTCGATCGCAACTATCGAATTACGTTATCCCTAGAGTGTGGAATAACTTTTCTCCTACTTAATTACCTTAGCTCGTAACTCACTGAGAAGGCGCTCACGTGGTCTTATCACTGAACACACAAACTCCGTGAAAATCACTGATCCCTTTCGGTAGAGAAGACACTCTCAGAAGTTTCGACATACCGAAGAAGTACATCGAAAACAGTGGGTAGGAGAGAAGAACGAACGAACGGTCGTATATACTAAGATCCGCTGGTCGACTCTTCGTCCATGATGGATCTACGTGGTCTCTCTAACAATAAACTAAGATAAAACAACCAAGACGTGGAAGAGTAGGAGGAGGAGGAGGAGGAGGAGAAGTTAGGAGGATGTCGTTTCGTCGTCTGCGGCGAACACCGCGAAGAACAAGAACGAGATGAGGAGGAAGGGAGGAAGAGAAGAAGGGATAAGAGGGGGGAGGGCCCCGGTAAAGTGGAAGGAGAAGGAAGAAGAGAAGGAGAGAAGAAAGAGGAATTAGAGGACACGAAAAAGAAGACGTGGGTTCGAGAGCGTGGAGAGGGACCGCACGCGTTACAAAACAGTCTAACGGACTCTAACGCACTATGCCTGTGAGAAGAGGCACGCTATTAGTATGACAAGCGCTATTGCTTTCTCTCTCTTTCACATTGTCAGTGTGATCCACTCGAGACACTCGCCGGTACGTACATGTACGTACACGCACATAAATGCACCTACGTAAATGCACGCACGTACATGAACATACCACCAACTTACGCACGGTAGTAGTACCTACGGTGTCACCTTATCGTAAAGTTTTTTTGTACGATCCTGCACGCGCGTGGGAGAACAGAGGGATCGGTTCAAGTTGCAAGGGGAACTTCGTGGACGGAAACCGTGCGCGGTTTATGCCCTCGGCCAATAACACATGTTCGTTATTTTCATTGGAGCTCGGCCAAATATGAATGAAAGACGTTACTAAAGAAAATCCCCCGTACTCGCGTTTCACTTTCTACGGGATCGAGCACACGTTCTACCGGTAAGCCAATTTACGTTTGGTCTCTCCTATTTTTCGATTTGAACAAGGATACTACGGTATTTGTAGAAATTCGAACACGATTGTATACAATATAGAAATGATTCTTGCGTATAGGAATAGCTTATTTTCCATAATCTTTTTCGACTTTTTCCTTTTTTCTTCTGGTTTTTTTTTTTTCTTTTTCTGACGATAAAGAAAAAAGACAACGAAATTCCTGGAGAATCTCGTTTCTTTACATTTGAGAAAAAGAAAATTCTTGAAGATTCGTGAACGTTACGCGTATCCAACGGGATAGAAGAAGTTATCGAGGTATCGTTGTAACTTTGGTCGAATCATCATTATCATCATCATCATGATCATCTATGCGATACACTCTACTAACGGGAATAAATAGATGAAGAGAAAGTAGGAGGATCAGGGTGGAGACGCGGGATATTATGCAGATAAAATATTCATGACCATTGGAATCCACGATCGGATCCGCCTTTATTTTTCGGGATGAATAGAAATGGTGCCACCCTCGTTGACCCGTGGCCCGCAATTCTTTTCCAACCAACGACAATGAGACGGAAAAAAACAGAAAGAAAGAAAGAGAGAGAGAGAGAAAAATAGAAACCAAGAACGAGAGGCAAAAGGGAAGTAGGAAAAAAAAACAAAAAAATAGAAAGAAAAAAAAAGGGCGCACGCGTGAGAGAAACCAAATCACACACGTCTATTGCATCGTGATTATCCTTTGTGAGCATTATCGACTGTACGAATCTAACCATACCTAAAGTTCCCCGTCCACTATACTCTCTAGATACTATTCTATTTTTTTTTTTTATTTTTTTTATTGTAGTATATCGTCTTTAAACAAAAACAAAAAAGGAGAGGTAAAACGTTGTTAAAGGTAAATCAATCGGACGGATGCAGCCTTAACAAAAAAAAAAAATAACACACTTCGTTTGAAAGCTCACTTTTCTACTTTATGATGTTACTTTATATCGTACGATCGCGATAGAAATAAAAAAAAAAAAAAACAAAAAAAAACAAAAAAAAAAGAAAGAAATTTAAGTAAATTTAATGACTAGACCGATGGACTTAATTTCCGTTTCGGTGCGTAATAAAGTCTTTTCTTAAATGATAACGAATAGTTTTGATTAAATTCATGAATCACGTTAGCAGGGGGGAGGGGGATTGACTCGATCATGGAATATATAAGTTAGGCGCTATTAATTATAAAAAACTTAAAACTCATTAAGAAAGTAAAGAAGTTTTTAAACCATCCCGATCGGCATTCTTACGAGAGAATAGACGAAAAAAAAAACAAAGAAGAAAAAAAATAAAAATAAAAAAGAATACTTTCGATCGAGTATCATGAACAAGACCCTCTCGACCAAGTTTCTTGAAACCAAGGAGGAACACCCCACCCTTCAAGAGATAATTCAAGATTTTCAATAGAAAAAGAAATAAAAAAAAAGAAAAAAAAAGTAGAAGGAAAAATATTAATAAGAAATAAAAATCATCGCGTCTATATAGAATAAAGATTTCGCGCAACGTCAGAAAACTGTCTAAACCTTCGATATTTTTCTAAAAAGAGTCCAAAGGATATTAGCGAATGATGGATGTGTTTCTACGCTTACGCGTTGGCCGTTGTTATTGCCTTAGCAATTTTCAGATGCCCTGCCTGGTGTTCGAGCCCTTTCAAAGTTAAGGTGGTCGCAACGCGCGTCGAACTATCGCGAACGAGATATCGATGTGAAAAATGATACCGAGAGTTCCGTTCCCCGTAATGTGCCATCCCGTTCTATTTTCGATATCGGTACATACCATATAATGTTACATGGGAAAAGCTTAAAACGTCAGTCACGTAACGATGGACGACGGAAGAATTTGACGCAAAACGTCTACGTCCTGCGAAGTAATGGGAAGAAGAAGCTTACCGATATATCGAAGAAAAGAAATCTTCCGTGGTGTAACCTACCTTTTTTTATATTCCTACTTATTTTTCCTCTTACGATCCTCATATTTTTTCTTCCTCCTTCTTTCCTCGTCTTCTTATTCTTATTCTTATTCTTATTCTTATTCCTCCTCCTACTCTTTCTTCCATGTTCAAAACTCTACGTTTCTCGCAGAAAAATATAAATGTAAAACTTTCTTTTACCTGACGGCTAATTATATCGCATGCCTTATAACAAGGGTACCTCATTATCGTGATATAATTAGAAAAGGTTCTGTAAGTCGTCAGTGAAAATCTTAATCCCACGCGAGCGGATTCCTAGGTCAACGACGTTGATTCATTTCCCTCATCTTTCTCTCCCCTTTTCTCCATCTCTTTATTTCTCTTTCTTTCTCACACATACTTTTAAACCGACAATCAATGGCGTTATTAAGTTTCCCTAATTGGACAAATATTTGTGCTCCTTCGTTCTCTCATTTTCTCACTTTCCGTCCCTCCTCTCCCTCACGGATTTAAGAGTTTGCCAACGTAAACGAGATAACGTATATGAGCTACCTTATGATACGTATGAATATTTGTACATATATGCATATTATATTGTATATGCACACAAAGTCCTAGATACTACTTTCACAAAAATTGTAACATTTTATTTAATATTATTTCATTATTATATTAAGTGTATTCTCGGAAAATAATCATTACATATTTTTATTACGCGGCAAATTAGAAAATTTAAATTAATACGATGAATCGCAATCAGTTGCAGAATAAATTATTTTCGGTTAAATCAATCATGGTTTGCGTAATGTATTTATGCTGATCCGCATATTAAAAAGATCGTAATTAATCTGTAATAAAGGTACTCGCGATAACATGTATATACATTTAAAAAAGGAAAAATTGGTTTCATTTGAAAATACTATATAATATATGTACTATTATTATCAAAATTATTTTTCGTTTTGTTAAATAATTATCTTTTGTTACTTTCATATTCTTTTGTTTATAAGAACATAGAGCACCGAAAACCGAAAGAAGAGAAGACGGTGAAACAATTTAGTATGTAGATGCATTAAGAACACAGTTTTGATGGAATTGGTATGTTCGTAAGCGTTTACACTCCAGGTGGTAGCATATAGTCTAGAGCAAGACTCAAGTTAGAGACCACACATAGGAACACTCCGTGGTAATCCTTTGATTACAGCCTGTTTCGAGAGTTAGGTGAATCACGAGGAAACGCGTAAGATGATATTCCTGAATGGAAGGGCCGGAAGGTGAAGCCGTCCTTCATAAGGGAGGAGAATACACGATGTCGCAGGAGAGAGGAAGAGAGAAAGGGACAGAGAGAGAGAGAGAGAGAGAGAGAGAGAGAGAGAGAGACAAACATCGTAGTACACACCAACTACCGGTTACCGCTTGATACGCTGTATATACGACTCTCGAGCACGGCGTAACACATCCGGTGTGTAGTGGTAACGAAATACATAGTAACATTATATCCGTGATATTCATCCACGGCATGACGTTACATGCTGAATACCCGCTTGCCCATAATATGCATCCGAAGGTATCGCGTGGCATCCGAATTAATTTTGGTCTTGAGAAGCCTGCTGATATCATCAACGGTCTTCGGCGTTCGATTGACGATTAGTGATGTCTTTGTAAAGCAAATTTCCGTTCCATTCCACACGAACGTACCAACTTTACTAGATAATCGTATCAGTACCTTACTACTATCTGTCTATATATTCCTCAATAATTTAGATTATATACTTGCCGCGTGAACAAGATACATAAGGATATTATGCAAACTATATTAAAAGAAGAATTAAAAAATGATGAATAAAAGAATTAGGAAATTTCGAAGGTCACCGAGACTCATCGTAAAACGCATTCGATCGAAATCACGCGCACGGATAGCCATACGGAAGCACCATAAAGCTAATGATCCCTAAGTGATCCGTACCACGACGACATGATGACTGTTGTACCAGGGAGGATGGGATTACGAGCAGCGAACGGAATGGAATGGTACATCCCATCATTATCCAATGATCCGACATCTCTTTACCAACTACTATACGTGCCACACCTCTGTGCACACGATCGTTTCCCGCGCAAAACAATTTTATTCTTAGCTAATACTTTACCTTCAAATTTTCTATCTCTCGCTAACTTATTAACATTGATATAAAGATGTCAGGACACGAAGACATTACTATTATCGTTTATCAGTCAAACTGCAGCATCCGTAAGATCGTTGTACCGGTCATTTATCAAGCTCCAAAGCTTCGCTTGCAGGTAGATAGACATACGCCTGGATCACCTGTTCAATAAGGTTTGTTATATTATAGATCATCATCAACCATGTGATCGAGTAGCTCTACCAAGTAAACCAACTTACGAAAGAAATCATTTGCGGTTAAACGAGTATCATATTCAACTTCGAAATACGAAGACTTTGTTGAAGCAAACGACGATGTACCAATATCTGTGTAAGCGTATCTATCTCGCCTATCGATGTAATTGGATATTCTTCTTTAAACACGAAAATTTATAGATCAAAATAAAATATCGTTTGAGCGTGAGAAAATGATTTGTAAGATTTGTACGAATTTAGAAAAAATCTAGACGATGTAATTACAAATGGGAATATACATTTATCGTTATATATGATTGAACGAGAAATTACCACCGAAAAATCATACTTTAATATCTAACCATTATTATTTAACGTTACATAAACCATCTAATGTTATAATGCACATACATACATAGGAAGAAGTAGTTTCAGGCGGTAAGAGACCGTTTGCCGCATGTTTTCCGGCCATTCGTCATTTTTAGCGGTCGACTTTCGGTCGATGAAGTATTAAATTATATTTCGCCACAATGATTAACGATCCTGAGATGTGTTATTAAACTTTAAAGCAAGCTGAGACATGAAATTCTTGCTAGGGAGAAATGGTCAAACTGTTATTCTCATCCTCCATCATTTTCCATTACTTTTACTTTATCCTTTTGCGTTAATTTTAACTTTAATAACATATAAAATGATACAATATTTAGAGTAAAATTAATCAATAATTTATGCATATGATCGTCCAAAAAAATAAAATTGTAATACTTACCAAATGAATTATCTACAATGTTCGAAAGTATCAAACAGAAATAGAAGTTTTCTCCTTTATAAAATCTCTTTTATAACATATATTTTCTTTCTATCTTGTGCTATCGTTATCATGATACATAAGAATGCTTTTCAAACTTCTTTATCACAAATAATCACAAAAACTTTCTCCAAAATTGTTCACACCAAAATAGATTCAAGGACCTACGTTGAAATTGTTGAATAACTAAATTTCAAATTAAACAAATGAAAAAGGAAACTCTTGCGCATGCGCAATAAATTCCTGATGAGCGGCCTTTTTGAATTTTATTCGTATGTAATGTAATGAATAAATAAATGACTTGAAATGAATTTATAAAATATTAATAAATTATAAATTTAAATATTTGTATTAACAAAACATTACATATGAAAATTTAATATGAAAATTTGTTGCTTTTTAAAGTAAAGTAAAAATTGCATTAAATTCGACCGAGGCGCTGCTGTCACACTCGGTAAAATTACATGCACGTGCGTCAAGTTGCTCATACAATGTAAATATAACAATATTTATCTACAAAAATTGTCTTCAATTTTTTTACATTTATTGGTATATTTTTGCAATGTTGGAAGATTATTTAATAAACCATCATTCATCTCGCCTAGAGCAAATATTAAATGCAACAGAGGAATATGTGCATTATTCAATTTATGTGAAGTAAACATTTACTTATTTGTAATTAAATATATCTTGTTATTGATTCACTTTGAAAACGTTCCAAATATTTTTGTAGCTTTGTATCTTTATTCGAAGCTGATCCTGAAAGTGCACAAAAGATCCTACGTCTTCCTAGACATTATTTACCATTATGCGATGAAGCAGCTATTAAGGCTCAAGAAAAAGTAGCCAAACCGCATCAAATTGTAAAAAAATTGGTAATTAATGTTTGGATATTTTACATTTAAATGTTTTATATTCTATTTACATTATGCATATATTTAGATTCATATTAGAATTACTGCTATTCCTATTATGATACAAGATGCTAAAATTGGTGAACTAGTTAGTACAAGTGGAATTACAGTTAGAACATCTCAGCCTTCGGCTATAAAACTGAAAAAACGATACAAGTGCAAAAAATGTAAATATGTCTCTATACTCAAGGTAAGTTTTTGTTTTTTAGACAAATTTCATATAATTTGCATTATATTGTATTACATAGAAGAAAGAATATTTTCTTTTTTAGTTTGAATGGGAACGACATATGTTTCAAAATCTTAAAGAATGTCAAGCATGTCATGCAAAGAAGATAGAAGCTTTAACAAATCTAGAACCTGATGATTGCTCTGATTACCAGGAAATAAAAATTCAAGAAAGTCTATAATTAGTTAGAAAAGTTAATGTAATTATTGCATTTTATATTCTAATTTTTTATATTTTATTCAATAGGAACAAAATCAAAAGGATGCAAAAAAGTCTTGTATGGTAGGATTACAAATTATTTTATTGGATGATTTAGTCGATAAATGCAGACCAGGAGATAGTTTAGAAATAAGGTATCTTTTTTATCTGATTTATAATCAGTATTAATATAATAATCAATATCAATATGGTCTGATCATGTATTTTCTATATGTGAAGTGGAGTAATTATACGTAAATGGGGAACTTTGACAGTTGGACGGCAAGCAGAAGCAACAACACTGATGATAGCAAATAGTATTTCAATACGTCGTAAAGTATCTGACACTACATTTTCCAATCAAGAAATGCAAGATATTTTTGAAAGTTATTGGCAACAACATGAGAACGATCCCTTGACTGGAAGAGACAATATACTTGCATCAATTTCTCCTCAAGTATACAAATTGAATTCATTCTAAATAGAATATTATATAAAATTCATAATTTATGATTTGCTAAAATAACATACAATTGTCTATTTTTCTCTTTCTTCAGCTATATGGAATGTATACAATAAAATTAGCATTAGCTGTTGTTCTAGCTGGTGGTGTACCAAAAACAAATGAATCAGGTGATTTTATATAATATATAAATATAAATTAAATAAAGATAAATGATTTCAAGTAAAGTGTAATAAATTTTACAAAAATGTACAGGTACACGCGTTAGAGGTGAACCACATCTTCTTATGATCGGTGACCCTGGAACTGGCAAGTCTCAATTACTTCGTATTGCTTCCAAATTGTCAACAATATCTGTTCATACAACTGGTATTGGTACAACTGCAGCTGGTCTTACAGCTGCTGCTGTCAAAGTTGGTTTCACTTTTAATCAACACTTATAGTTGGCAGTTATATTATATATATATAAATTAACTATATCAAATAAAATATTAAATAAAATATAAAAATATTAATGCATATATATGTTCAAATTATATAGGATACAGATGGTTGGCATTTAGAAGGTGGTGCTTTGGTATTAGCAGATGGAGGTGTTTGTTGTATTGATGAATTTAATACAATGAGTACTCATGACAGAGCATGTGTGCATGAAGCTATGGAACAACAAACAATATCAATTGCCAAAGCAGGTTTAGTGAGTACTTTAAATTCTCGATGTACAGTTATTGCTGCTATTAATCCAGATGGAGGCACATTTATAGATGGTGAAGAATGGAAAACACGCTTGGGAAATCCTCTTTTGTCACGATTCGATTTAATCCTTCTTCTCAAAGATAATAAAAATCCAGAATGGGATGAAATGGCATCTGATCATATTTTAAAAACAGCTTATGAATTTAACGATACAGAAACTCAACCGTAATAAAATGATGTAAAGCAGTAACTTTACTTAAAGAGAATATTATAACTATAAAAACATATTATTTCAGAGATACAAAGCAACAGATAGATTCTGTAAGATCAGGACTATGGTCAGAGCAAATTTTACGCGAGTATTTCACACATATACATACTTTGAAACCAAGTCTTACAGTAGAGGCAGAAAAAGTTATTAGTGCAACTTATCTTTATCATAGATCCAATCCAAGCAGAAGAGCAGAACGAACCACTGTACGACTTTTAGATAGCTTGGTCAGGTAATATATTATTTTACAAAAAAGAAAAATTGTGCTGTCATTTAAATATTAAAAAATATTCGTTTCGTAGATTAGCTGAGGGTCATGCAAGACTAATGTTTAGATCAGAAGTGCAACTAATGGATGCTATAATTGCATCAGACTTAACTGGTACTCTTACAAGTGATATGGGAATTGGATGTCCTTTTCCTACAAATCCAAAACACACATATCATTGTAGAGGTAAATTTCATGTATTGTAATATCAAATAATCATATTAATATAAATTAATTTTATATAGTTGCAAATATTAAAATATTTTATAAACAATTATAGGAAAGGAGATATTAAGAACTCTTAATTTGCAAACGCTAGAGTCATTCCTATAATGTATTATACGTATGTATATGTAAAAACCAATTTATGATTATAATATTTCTGAATATTTTATATATTTTTAGTCTGACATTTTATATTTAATTTTCTAACACGAATATATACATTTAATTGTTATTTGATTAATTAATATCTTCAAAATTTTAAGTGTTATAGTAAAATACAATAGTCCAAGGCAAAATTACAAGTATATATTATTAGTTTAGCAATTTAATATTCCATTATCTACTTTTTATGCATAAGTGTTTTGTAATATTATTCTCAGTACCTATATTGGCAAATAAAATAGTTTATACATGGACCTTTGGAGTTTTAATTTGTTATTAATAGCCGCAGAATATTCATTGAATTTTCTTAAAAAACATTAATAATTAATAATATATAGTTTTTATAATAAACAATAAATCTCTTAATATCGATTTATAATTAATTATAAATAAAACGGATTTTTTAAAACGACTATTCTATATAAGAAAATATTGTAACTATGAATTTTTTATCACGCGAATTTGTTGTAGATATTAATTGTTATATTAATTAGAATACTTATTTATTTAATATATTAATTGTCAATAAGTTGCACAGATTATAAGAAGTTTCTTTAATTTTTTACACTTTTATCTTTGACAATACGCTATGTCATCCCTACTAAAGATTAATATAACAAATTTTTATGAAAATTTGATCAATTTCAAAATAAATTACAAGTACTTTTCTCGGCAAATACAAGCATTAAAGTCTATGTAATATGAAAATTTCAATGTAACTTCAATAAGAAATAAGACTACATTTCATTATCTTATATAGTAAGATACAAATGAAATGTGTACAATTTCAGAAATAATAGGAAACCATATATCATCCACAAAAATTCAGATAATAATCAAACTATAACATACTTTAACAAGTTTATCACATAGACGGATTTTACTCACTAACACATTTTGATTTAAAAACTTTCTAAAACTCAATCAATAGAAACATACATCAATATATAACTACATAAATGAATCTTCCATGTATAAAATCTAATGCATGTAACAGATAATCTAACTTATGATTAAAAGCAGTCGAACAAAAATATTGATATTAAAAATAGCGTATTTTGATTAGGAAATTTTCATCGTTTGTCTTTTATAATTATTAATTATTTTCTGCATAAATTGTATATAGTTCACTTTTTTTAATAAAATACATACAATAAATGTGAAATAAACATAATTTCACATATTATATTGTTTCTTTATAAGAATATATGCTTCTGTAATACAGTGAATACTAATGAATTCAATGAAATAATAACAAAATAACATGCAAACAAACTTAGAAGATTTATGAATTTTCAGTATGATATGAAGGCAGGATATATTTCTATCCAAATGATTTTGTTAATTTAAGATGTCCTTAGTAACGGGGCTGAGCAGCAGCGTTAGCCATTTGTGTACGAACTGCAGTAGCTGCTACATTGCTTGCAGCATTTTGGACATGTTCATTACGCAAGAAAGTTGTAGCAAATTCTTGTTGCGCCTTTGATACACTTGCATCCGATGTTCGATAAATTCTATGAATCTACAATAATTCTCATAATATGATTTGCAAAATCGTACACGTGTGAAATATGTATAACATAAGATATACATCGGTAAGTCTAAAATTCACAATAGATAGAATTTAATAAATAATTAACATACCTTGGTAAGTAAGAGAAGATCACCACCAGCTGCGATGATAAAACAAAAAGCAATGAGAAGTAATAAAATTCCAACAAAAATGCCTGCAGCAGTTGAATTAAATGCAGTAATAGCTGTTATTAATCCGCTGAAAAAATAATAAACATTCACAGAAAATCACATATATTTTTACATTAATATATTAAATAAAAATATGTAAGTAAAGCAATATTTTATATATATTACCATGAGCCTAATCCAGGTATACCGATAGCTTGTATACTTGTAACAATTAATTGAAAGAAGAAGACAAAGAAGAATACCATAAAGTTGAAAGAACTATCATTCCTAAAAAGAAAATAATATGATTAATCAATATATTATTAACAAAATGTACTTTCATACTTTTATTTTAATTTTTTAAATAACTTACTTAAAAGCTCTATATGCCGGTCTAAACCAGCACAGAAATGAAAATGGTGTAAACAAAATAAGATACAAGATACTAAGACCAAATGTTGTTACATCCTTACTATGAAACATCAAGGCAAATCCACCAACCACATTCAAAAACAATATTAAACCATGAACTGGAAAATCAAAAAATGTTTATATATTTTTAATTTCTCCCACTTGCATTTAATAAAGCATAATAAATGGACTTACACATCCACAAATAATACAATTGTCTCACTATCTTTTGAAACTCAGCGTGAATCTCCACATCAATATCCTGATAGAAGCATGGTTGAAAACAGCATCTTTCAGGTAATGGTGGCCAATTATTTCGCCTTGCTAAAATATCACAACTTATAATTTATAGAATGATCTTTAAAAATAATAAGAATTTTAAAAACACTTACGATAATATGGTGTATTCCTCATCTCTTCTTCTCTCCTTGCATTCCATTCTTCCTCAGTTCTTTGCTGCAATAGATATTACATTTCTTGGAAATTATCTATGTACTATGACACCTATTGGAAATGGCTATATAATGACTAATATTTAATGACTTAAATTGCTGTCCAAAATTTGTAAAAGAAAATATGAGATTATATGCGTATAACATATTACAAAATTTGTCTCAAAGTCCAATTTAATCTTGAATGTGTATTTACCTCTGTAGAAGGTGGCAACGTGCTTCCAAGCACTGCTTTCACTGTTTGCTGTGGAGTACGCGTTGGTTTTACTGTTTCCTGTATAGTAGGCGGTACTTTCACTGTTTGCTGTGAAATACGCGAATACGGAGGCGGTGGAGTTTCTGATCTAAAGGTTGATTGAAAGGTTGAAGGTTGAAGTGTCGCTGGTTGCTGCGTTGCTCCTATTCCTCCATAAATAGGAGGATTTGATGCACCTCTGACTTGTGCAGTTCCTTGCGCTACTGTCTGCTCAGAAAAAGGATTGTAATCTTCGAGGCCCTTACTAGCAGGTGTTGAAGCGACTGCCCTTTTTATTGCCGGATCCTATAAATATGTATGATATTAGCACGAATTATTTTCCATAGCATTAATCATTTTAAATGCAATACCTAAAATTAATATATATATAACCATGATAATTATTAAATAAAATAGATAAATATTGCACCGTACGATCAAATACTTGCATGTAAATATTTGATGTTAAAGAAAATAAATTAAATAACAACACAATTTAATTTAATAAATTCACACCACATAGTAAATTGTCAATATAAAATCCAAAAAATATGATAAATATTTAACCAGTATTATTTTGTTCTAAGTGTTTCTATTAAACATACATAATTCTCACCACTGATATGACAGGAATGGAATTCTATGTACTTACCGAAAAAGGATCGTGAATAGTAGGTTCTCCAAATGGATTCTCATCAAAACCAGACATTTTTGAGATCGTGCACTTAATAAAATTTACTTTATCAAACAATTTAGAGTTATACAATGAACTAATAATGTGGAAATAATCTTATCTTAGGAAAGACTAGACTTTACAATCCATCTCTTTGCGGTTACACACGTCATGTCAAATTTTCGACTGCAATAATCCCTATACTTATTAAAGTGTTAACTCGTATATTCGCAATGCAGGAGACGAAGAATAAAAAAATATAGTGAACAGAGACAGCCAATAATATCTTTCTCGTGACTTCCCTTTAACCGTTCTGAACTAGTGAAGTTGGCTTGCAATCAGATATGATTGGCGATTATTACATCCGATCTCGACACTTTCAAACTTTACATTTTAATTTATTATCCTTCATTCGTTTATTAAACGTTCAATTATTCAAAATCAATATATTCAGGCAACGAAATTTGAAAAATAGTTTAACAGGTAAGATCATATAACTATTCTCGTTTTAACCTTTTTTTTAGTTTTTAATTACGTATCAGTTGGCAGTACTTCTACTTCATAGTTTAGTTTTTTTGTGCGCGGTGTATATTCTATTCTATGCGCAGAAATTTATTCCATTTTTGTCTATAAATAACAAAATATTTGCAAGCAATAACAGAAACGTCAGAAGTATTGTCTTCATAAATATTCTATTATTTGTCGAGTATTTTAATACACGTTATTGTAATCATTAAATGGTGTGTATGTTTAAGCAAATGTGTTTGTGAAGTTTTTGATCTCCCTTCTTACTCAATTATTTCTCTAATAGAGAAAGACTATACAGAAACGATTTTTTTTTCAATTTTTTTAATTTATCAATATGGAAAATCATAATGACGAACAAGGAAAAGGTAACTTTTAAAGTAGTTTCAATTTTCAAATATTCATTGAAAATTATAACTTCATGCTACTTTGTTTTTCGTTTATGTCGTTATTTAGATTTTAAATTTAATTAATTAATAGCATTGATATGTATATATGTGAAAATATCTATATATTATATAGAAATAATATATATTCTAATAAAATAAATGGTAAGCAACAATTTTTAACGTTTCTGTATCATTTTTTTCTCTCTCTCTCTCTCTCTCTCTGTCATCCATTTTCTTGTTAATAATAATAAATATTTTTTGTAAATACATTATAGAATATCTACAATTGTATTGTTATGCAATGAGATATATATACAACAAGCAAGTGGAAGTAGGCATTCTTTATTAAATTAGAAATCAATTGAGTAAATTATTGTCCTGTTAATTCTAACTACTTATTTGATATCTTATTTGAAACAAGTATTCTTGTAGTTAGGTGATTTTTATTTTATACATATTAATGAAAACAAATAAATTTTATACGAAGGATTATTGTACGTATATAATAAACGAGTACAATATATTTTTATATATTGAACGTATACATATCTATTGTGCATTTATTAGACAATAATCCAAATGAAGAAAAGCCTGGCCCATCCTCAGAAAATTCCGAATCACAAGTGGAATCAGAAGATTCAGGAATGGAAAAAATACGCAAATATTTACTACAAAAATTAAAGCTTTATGACTCGGATAGCGAACAAGAGTCAAGTTCAGTTCTTAAAGAATTAACAATAGATGGTATTGTAGATTACATAAAACAGAATCCAGATTGTAAAATTATAACAATGGCTGGAGCTGGTATTTCCACGTGTAAGTTAATTTTTATTTTTTTTTTAATTGCATTAAATATGCCCTTAAAAATAATTTAAATCGTTTGTTTTAGCTGCAGGAATTCCAGATTTCCGTTCACCTTCAAGCGGACTTTATCATAATTTAGAAAAATATAATTTACCATATCCTCAAGCAGTTTTTGAAATAGAATTTTTTATGAAGAATCCAGAACCATTTTTTACCCTCGCAAAACAATTGTTACCTGAAGGATTTAAACCTACACCGTGTCACTATTTTATTCGTCTTTTACATGAAAAAGGTTTATTATTGCGTCATTATACGCAAAATATTGATACATTAGAAAGAATTGCAGGATTGCCGACAAACAAATTGATAGAAGCTCATGGAACATTTTATACTGGTCATTGCATTAAATGTAAAGCACCATATACGCTTGAATGGATGAAAGGTAATAAATCTTATTTACTATATAAGTATAAAATGATATAATGGATAAATACAAACTTTATATTAATTAATAGAAAAAATATTGGAAAGTGTAATACCAAAATGTGAACAATGCGAAAAAGGTGTAGTAAAACCTGACGTGGTATTTTTTGGTGAAATGTTACCTGAACGTTTTCATCATTTTGCTGAGAGAGATTTTTCACTTGCTGATCTTTTAATTATTATGGGATCAAGTTTGGTGGTGCAACCTTTTGCCTTTCTAGTTGACAGGTATTTTATTTACTTAAAATATAAATCACATTTAATCTTATTAATTATCGGTTTCTTAAATTCATTTGACTTGTTTAAGAGTAAGGCCTTCCTGTCCTCGTCTTCTTATAAACAAAGAAAAAGTGGGTATGCAGGATCGTTTATCCAGATTTTTAGGTTTAAATCAAGGTTTAATGTTTGACTCTAAAAATTCCAATTCCGGACGAGATGTTGCTTGGTTAGGTGATTGTGATACAGGCTGCCAGTTGCTAGCTGATAAACTTGGTTGGGGTGTATGTAACTTTTTAACTTATCCGTTAATGTATACACAAAACAACATAAAAACTAATTCGAATTTCTTTTTTAGGAAGAATTGAAAGCATTAATAAAACGAGAACATGAACGTCTAGATGCAGAAATATCCACTGTTAAGAATTCATGAAAAAATTGTACAAATATACGCGTAACAGGAAATATAAATTGAGTCTTTCAAATTTATTATTAAATATTATTATCTTAATATTGTTAAGCCTGTTCTTTACGCATAAAAATATCTTAAACAGCATTTATACCAACAATAAATCCGGACATAATTTTTAGCTAATTTTATTGTATCTTAATTTAAAAGCCTTCTGTTTTTTAAATCAAATTTCATGTAAAATAAAATTCTTTAAGTATTCGATTTATCTTTAGGACCTATTATTTTATCTGATTTATGATAAATCCACTTACGCAGATATAGCGGTACCAAAGAAATGGCCGTTTAAAAATTAACAATTTTTCGATCTATTATTCAAGAATATCAAAACATTAAAAAAACGATATTGCCGTATAAAATCAATCGGAATGTGTATTATGAACGTATTTCCCCCCATTGATAATTAATAATTATTTTTATACTCTAATGTACTCTTCTTATATTTAAATTTTATTGTTTAAATCCCTATACATAACATTACACATACCTACTAATATACTTTGAATATTAAATAATTTAAGTCTAATTTTTTATTAGAAGAAAATTTTATCTTCAAAGTAATCACTGCACAGGAACGTTAAAAAGATCTTAAATATAAATAGAGTACATTAGAGTATTAAAATAATTGTTAATTAATCGATGCAAGTATCTATTGTTGTCTAAAAGCTCGGAGAATGTGTCCCGAGTACTTTCCTCCTCGAAATCCGCCGTTAGACTGGCACGTTATCCTCTATCGAAGTATGACTTTTCGAACGTTGCGCATGTGTATAAATGGAATAATACATCTAATTAATAAAATTTAAGATTATAACGTTCTGATTTTAGAATTTTTTTCATATTTATATAATTCTTTCAATAAAGGCATATTTGTTTTAATGTTTTTGCGCTGTGATGATTTCGAATGAGTGGGGTAATATTTTCATCTAATAAAACATAAGATCAAAATTATTTGATATTCAAAGTATGTTAATAGGTATGTACTGTAGGTATGTAAGGACTCGTCATGATCTTGGAACGCTGCTTATATAATACTAATAATAAACGCGAAAATATTATGGTGAAAATTCGCGATTGATTTTTATGAACAAGATCTCATTTAACAGAATAAATAAAAATCTAATTGAAATTCATTAATATACTTTGAATATTAAATAATTTCTATGTGATATTTTTTTCGATGAAAATTTCTCCCTCCGATGTCATCACTGCACAGGAACGTTAAAACAAATGTACATTAGCTTAAGCAATTACATAAAAATAAAAAAAATGCTAAATTCAGATCGTTCTAATCTTAAATTCTATTGATTAGATGCATTATTCCCTTTAAACACATGCGCAACATTAGGAAAGTCATATAAACAATATTCAATAAAAGCACTTTCATAGAGGATAACGTGCCAGTTTGAAGGGGAATTTCGAGGAGAACGGTGCACTGGACATATATTCCGAGCTATTAGACAACAATAGACACTTGCATCGATTAATTAACAATTATTTTATTGCACTAATGCACTTTACTTATATTACAGAAAAATTTTACCCTCGAAGTCATCACTGCGCAATTATTAAAATAATTACATAAAAGTGATGAAAATACTAAAATCAGAACGTTATAATCTTAAATTTTATTTATTAGATGCATTATTCCCTTTATACACATGCGCAACGTTCGGAAAGTCATATAAACAACTTTCGATAGAATAACTTTTTTATGTGACAACGTATCAGTCTAACAGGAGATTTCGAAGAGGATGGTACATAGATCATATATTTCGAACTTTTAAACAACAATAGACATTTCTATCGATTAATTAACAATTATTTTAATAATCTAATACACTCTCTTTATATTTCAGATTGTTTAAACAAATATGAACTAGTATAAACATTACATACTTATTAACATACTTTGAATATTAAATAATTTCGATGTGATATTCTTTTCGATAAAAATTTCCCTCTCCAAAGTTTTCACTGCACAGCAACGTTAAAACAAATGTACATTTGTTTAAACAATTACATAAAAATTGAAATAATGCTAAAATTAGAAATTTATATAATTTTAATTTATATCTATTACAATTAATTTTCTCGTTACACACATAAGTAACTTTTAGAAAGCCATTTAAATAACATTCAATAAAAAAAACTTTTTTATATGACAATGTATCAGTCTAAC